ACTGCATGTGCTGAGAAGAAAGACCTCAGATCAACAGATGTTCAGGTGATCCTGCACGCTCTTTTGGCAACGCGTACGCAGATCGGAAAATCCGCTATAAGACCGCTGATACGATCTCTTTCCCACAGGGCCACGCCCTCGAGTGGAACATTCTTTCCCAGCTGAATGAGACACACCTCGCCAGCTGGTAACGGAAAGTATTGCCAAAGCGCACTTACTGGGCCTTCAATTAAGGCGTCTACCTGTCCGTTAAGCCGGTTAAGACCGTAATGCACGATGTCTGACCTTTCCGAGCTGGGTCACTGTCACCTCCGGCTCCAAGTCGGCGTTTAGCTGGAAGTACCACTCCAGCGTGGAGTAAGCACTCCAAAATGTTAATAATTTCAATTTACAATTTAAAACAATTTGGGTTTACTGAAAAAGGGTAAACTATTTTAGAGTTTCAATGTTTTTAGATAGTTAGTTAGTTTCTTTTTGAAGTTCATAATTATTGCAGATTTTATTATGAAAATGGTCAAGATATTTCTAAAACTCTTATTACTACCATAACTCTATTTACAGATTCATAAGCTCAGCTAACAATATATATTGATATTTGGAGAATACATTATATGCTTATAAGTTCTAATGCTCTAACATAAAATTATTTTTCTGCGTAAATCGTTTTTCAAAGAAAAGTTTTTCTCTGTGCAACCATATGATAGCCACTTACCTAACCGCTGTGGTTGGCTGCCTTTCCGGACTCTTCGGCTTGTTGGTAAACATTTAATGTTCTCCTCTGCTCGATTCTCGGGAAGAAAAACATGGTCAGTTCTCTTCGGTTCGGGTTGGTTGGCCCAGTGTCCGATTCCCTGCTGCTCCATCAAAGTAATCAGTCTCCAGAAAGAGGGGAGAGAACGGCAGCCAATAACCCTGCAGGTGCCCAAAGTTCTAACTTCAAATGCCTTTGTAAAAGTGTTTACTTATCAAACCTTCCTAACAGTGCATTACCCACTCCAACATCCAAATTTCAATTAAATGCATTTGGTGTGGAGGTTAAAAGGCGTTTTCCTAGCCGACGGGGAAATAGCTGGCATTCGAGAGACGGCCCCAAGGAAAGTTGCCTTTGTGCGGGGGCCCTAAACATTTTCCTAGTTGTCATAGTTGAGGTGGAAACTCCCACAGCTAACTGACAACCCTGGCTATTGTAGATGGCATTATGCACGCATATGGCTAAACTTATGATAAATTATGTTGGCTGGTGTTGTTGCGCCGGTGAAAGTGCCAATTGTTTTGTGCGCGAATTCTTGCCAATGAGATTTCCTATTCGCTATTAATTGTGGCATTGTGCCTGCCTGTTTTTTAGTTTTTCAGAGCCCACCCTCGAAGTCCGGAGCCCAGGCAAACGCATCGTCATGGAACCCACGCCCAATATGCTGTAAGCAGTCCCACTGAACTTGCATCTTACTCTTCGCATCTGCATCTGCATCTCACTGACTTCGCATCTGCATCTGTACAAAGCCATTCCATTAACCCACAACCGAGTAACCCGAGTAACCCGCATCTCTAACGCCTCCAGGAAGCAGTTGCTGCTTAAGAACCACCAGGACGCCATTCTCCAGCTCCAGGGACACTCTCCGTCGCCTCCTCTGACTTTTGGTAGCGTTTCGATGGCGGATAGCAGGGAACGCATCCGCGGACCCTCTAGGGACGGTCGGGAGTTCCTCACCAGTCCCAGGCAGGTTCTTCGTCGTCTAATGTTACTTTCGGAGGGCAGACAGTACAGGGAGGCTGCTGGCGTGGTGGGTAGATTAGGTCCCTCAGTTCTGAGATCAGTCATCGCCGAACTCCCGCTGGATCTGCTGCTGGAGCACCTGCCCCACAGTGCCTACCTCCTGGAGTCGTTCTTTACCAGGTGAGTTATAGTTCAAGTTAATCCACTCATATAACTTAATTTAGTTAATAGAATAGATGAGCATAAGGTATTCCAATTTATTTCTCCCCTCTCCCAGACTAACCACCTTGAACACCACTCCAAAGCCCGAAGTGCCAAGTGAAACGGTGGCCTGGCAGCTAGTGCGCCTCTTTGCTAATCCCCATGAATCTGGACTTCGGCAAAGATGCACTCGGCTCCTGCAGGCCTTGGCACAGTACGAACCAGCTCTCCGGCAAACTGTGAGGGAGAGGAGACGCAGCTTCGACAATGCTGTGCAGGGACTCGGAGTCCATGGACTTACCACTGATGCCTCCGGACAGCTTATATCGCTTCATGTGGCCTTGAAAGCAGAATTACAACGCCATGTGGACACCTACAAGATGGCCATTCACAAGCTGGAGGAGCTGAGCATGGTGACGGTTAACCAGGATCCCGCCCACTCCTCTCACCAACGTTTGTTAGCCATCAATTACGGGGACATTCAGCAGCGACTGATCGACAATAAGACCCTGCTCACCATGCTGGACAAACCGGCTCTGAAGCAGCTGCAAACCCTGGTGGAGAATCTGAGTACGCGGGTGGAGAACGACAAGGAGGTGCTGACCTGTGTGGGTCAGGTGCGCCGTCTGGACTCGCAAGCTCTTGTGGAGAAGCGTCCTGCCGCCGGCCTGCTAATGAATTTCTCCCGCGGCTGCGAGGTGGTGCTCCACATGATGGGTCCAGAGGGAGGTCCTCCGGGGACCTCGCTTTCCATGGGGAAGGCCACACCCCCCGGCGGAGCCAGTACGAGCAGCTGCAGCGATGGATACCACTCGGATGACTCCGGCAGCGATGACGGCAGGTGTGTGTTTAATCTTTAAGCAACAAATCTTAGAGTTTCATAAAAACTTTAATATATTGAACTATTTAAACCTCTGTTCTATCACTTGACCGAGTTCCAATAAGGTGTTACACCCACATTACAATCTCAGCCAAATCAGATCGAGACCGCATCCAACTCTCACTTGGCCACATCCCACACTCTGTCGCTCATCTCCCATTTCTATTTCCATTTCTATTTCTCCGCAGCGAAATGGTGTCGCTCTATCGGAATCTCTACGTCGAGAACCGAGCGGATGCCTTGGAGGCGTTGGACAGTCTTCCCCAGATAAAACATGCGCACAGCCTCAAGGGCAAGATACTCTTCTCCATGATCGTGGTGAGTCTGAAGTACCTAACGACACACATGCTTTGGGTCGGGTTTTAGATTGCCTCTAGAAGATATGTCCGAAAATTCAATAATGGCTTGTTAAAGAGGCCGAACAAATTTCAAGACTAACCTGATCGCGGAGAAATTAATGCCAATTGCGGGTCAGGTAGTCTTTTCACTTTTTTTGGGAAGTTAAAAAAATATTATTCTGGGTGCAGCATTTCTTTTTGGCCAATATGTTATTCGGTATAACATCTATCAGATAAACTTTATTAGGTTGAAAATGGCAAAAACTAATTTAAGATTAAGTCCAGCGGAGAAACTGCTGCCAACTGCAAGGCAGTCAATCATTCACATGTCGGTGGAATGCGAATCTCTACTCCCAAATTTTTACTTTTATAATTATCTCCTCCGTTTTCACTTGTCAAGACAACGTGGAGTTATTTGTGATGAATGGAGTCAATTTATAATGGGCGTTTATAATCTTTAAAAGTGCCAGTTCGCTGTCAATAACTCTTTTTAACTTGAAAACAGCTATTGATCTTTTCCTTGGAGCTATTCAAATTCAAGATGATCTTGTCAATAGAAAAGTAAAAATCGATTGTTTTTAAAATGGGACGATCGCGTTTCAATTGCCATTTAGCAGGTCACCGCCAGAATACATGAATTGTTCGAAAAAGCGTTTATGCAAATGAACTCAAAGAATGCCTATTAATAAGGTGTCATTCTATAAACAAAAGCACTAAGATATTTATTATTATTTTAATGGGCAACTATCGTTAGGAAAGCGTTTCTACTGCTTGAACTGCTTTCATAGAAATTTAGCACAGCACAATGACTCTCAAACTGTAAGGCCAATTCAGCCAACGAAAATTACTTTCAATTTTCAAGTGCTTGGCCATCAATTACTAACGCCAAAGCCGTGGGCTCTGATGCTTCAGATCCTGTCAGACCGCAAATTGCGATTGCAAAATATCAATTTGACCAGATCAAAATCGCGTTTGAGCATGATTAGGCGTTGGAGCAGCGAAAATGTGAGGGAAAGTGGAGCCCCCAGGGTGCCAAAAAATTACGTAGGCGCGGAGGATCAAACTTGTAGTAATCGTATCACTTTCGATCATAGATAAAAGACACTTTTCCAGGAAAAAATTACAAACACAGATCAGCATATAGAAATAAAAGGCAAGCTTAAATTTGTATACTAGCTAATATTTTTCGGTACTGAAGTCCGAATTCCATAAAGTTCTTGAAGTCTTAAGCCGAAACCAGTTCAAATGAGTTCATTACCAACTTTTTCATATATGGTCAGCTCTCCTTCCGCCTATGCCACGGAATGCGGGAACGAAAGGTACTGGAAGTTCGACGCATCCTGAATTGCCCCCTGGACAGCAGCAGCGAGACCACTTTGTCCCTGGACAGATCCGTTCGCCAGCACCTTTTCGAGACTGCCGAGAACTTTCCGCTGGGCGAGATCGAGCGGTCGGTGTTCAACCAGGTGCTCTCCACTTTACACGAGTATCCCTGCCTGGAGTCCTGCCCCCCATTAACCCACTATGTGAGCGCCTGTGTCCGCCTAGCCTGGAGGATGATCAACCAGAAGTCGCCCTACTACCTGGACATGGACTTCAACCTGGGTGAGTTTTTAAAGCTCTTATTAATTTATTCACAATCTTAATCTTTAATGTATCCAATTCAGGCTTCCTGAGGCCCGAGAAACACGAACGTCATCCACAGGCGGATCGACGATCGGACCTTATAAAAGCCTTCCTTTGGCCCGCCTTGATGCAGAACAACCAGTGCGCCTTCAAGGCGGTGGTGGCCACCTGAGGATCGTCTTAAGTTTACCCCATTTGTACATACAAGCCCTCTCTTATCCAATAAAGATTTACCCCTTAGCTAAGCGTAACTGATGGGTCGGAGTTTGATGCACTGACTCCGGATCTTGTTGGTGCAGAGTAGTGGATGCTCCGCGTAGAATTCCACTATTTCCGAGGGGGATCCAAAACATCGCTCCTGTGGCTTCTTTTGACCTATGGCATACCGCTGACTCCTGTCCACCTGCCTCACAAACAGGTGGTAGAACTGATCGGCCGCCCAGATGCTCACTATGTAGCGGATGCACTGGTCGGCTGCCTTGAAAGGTCGAACCAGGCAAGATCCATCCTCTCTTCCATGGAGCATGCGCTCCGCCGTAGGTCGATCCACCGTAAAGTAGTACTGCTCCTTCTCCACGTGCCGCTCTTCTATCTCCGCATAAAAGGCGTCTGAGTCTTCTTAAAAGATATTCAAATAAAATAATTACTTTATACAGGAAAAGAGAAAACAGTAACTCAATGTTGTCCAGAGTTTACCCGCTTTTTTGTTTACATTTCACCAGCGGATAGACATATGACTTTGTTTTGAAACGGCGATATCTGCGAGAACTCACCCTCAATGACGTAATCTTGATGGGGCTGCTGGTGTGGATCGTCATCTGTACTGGAAACCCGTTCTGCGACGTCACCTTCTTCACTGGCCTGTCTCTGATAGCCGAAGCAGCAGCTACAGCATACAGGTGACCTTAGTTCCGACAGACTGTCCAGCAGGCGAACCAGAAGATTGTGCAGAACCGTCCAGTAGACACGTGCACACCAACAGCACATGAAAAATTAAGTTTTCCAGATTTGAGTGCAAACCGATTGGGAATCATAGCAATCAAATTACAAGCCCTACGAGGTATTACATTCCTGATTTGGACCATTTTTGGCTGTGCTATGGCCAAGAAACTGATTTTTTGGGGCCCAAAGTCAAATATACGTCTTTTAGAGCCCAGATTCTTGCCGGTTCTTAGCTCTAACTTTGTCAAAACAAGACGTACGGCTTAAACATTGAGTGTTTTACGCTGCTAACAACCAAAACTTTAAACCCCTATACTTGCTTTTTGTGTTATTCTTCTTATTTGTGGCTGCGAGTGCCGATTTAATGGCTAAAAAAGCTGGAAACCCATTTTTATCAGAAATTTGCAATACTATGTTAGGCACTTTAGCTCTAGCTCGGCCAAAACAAGACGCACAGCTGAAAGAACAACTTTTTTGTGCTGCTAACGACCAAAACTAAGCACCCCTATCACTCGATTTTCGAATTTGGGAAAATCAATTTTGGCCCAAATTTCCCATTTTTGATAAGGGGTACCATCATCAAAATTCTCGAAAAATGGCCGAAAATTAAGTTTTCCAGATTTGAGTGCAAACCGATTGGGAATCATAGCAATCAAATTACAAGCCCTACGAGGTATTACATTCCTGATTTGGACCATTTTTGGCTGTGCTATGGCCAAGAAACTGATTTTTTGGGGCCCAAAGTCAAATATACGTCTTTTAGAGCCCAGATTCTTGCCGGTTCTTAGCTCTAACTTTGTCAAAACAAGACGTACGGCTTAAACATTGAGTGTTTTACGCTGCTAACAACCAAAACTTTAAACCCCTATACTTGCTTTTTGTGTTATTCTTCTTATTTGTGGCTGCGAGTGCCGATTTAATGGCTAAAAAAGCTGGAAACCCATTTTTATCAGAAATTTGCAATACTATGTTAGGCACTTTAGCTCTAGCTCGGCCAAAACAAGACGCACAGCTGAAAGAACAACTTTTTTGTGCTGCTAACGACCAAAACTAAGCACCCCTATCACTCGATTTTCGAATTTGGGAAAATCAATTTTGGCCCAAATTTCCCATTTTTGATAAGGGGTACCATCATCAAAATTCTCGAAAAATGGCCGAAAATTAAGTTTTCCAGATTTGAGTGCAAACCGATTGGGAATCATAGCAATCAAATTACAAGCCCTACGAGGTATTACATTCCTGATTTGGACCATTTTTGGCTGTGCTATGGCCAAGAAACTGATTTTTTGGGGCCCAAAGTCAAATATACGTCTTTTAGAGCCCAGATTCTTGCCGGTTCTTAGCTCTAACTTTGTCAAAACAAGACGTACGGCTAAAACATTGACTGTTTTACGCTGCTAACAACCAAAACTTTAAACCCCTATACTTGCTTTTTGTGTTATTCTTCTTATTTGTGGCTGCGAGTGCCGATTTAATGGCTAAAAAAGCTGGAAACCCATTTTTAACAGAAATTTGCAATACTATGTTAGGCACTTTAGCTCTAGCTCGGCCAAAACAAGACGCACAGCTGAAAGAACAACTTTTTTGTGCTGCTAACGACCAAAACTAAGCACCCCTATCACTCGATTTTCGAATTTGGGAAAATCAATTTTGGCCCAAATTTCGCATTTTTGATAAGGGGTACCATCATCAAAATTCTCGAAAAATGGCCGAAAATTAAGTTTTCCAGATTTGAGTGCAAACCGATTGGGAATCATAGCAATCAAATTACAAGCCCTACGAGGTATTACATTCCTGATTTGGACCATTTTTGGCTGTGCTATGGCCAAGAAACTGATTTTTTGGGGCCCAAAGTCAAATATACGTCTTTTAGAGCCCAGATTCTTGCCGGTTCTTAGCTCTAACTTTGTCAAAACAAGACGTACGGCTAAAACATTGACTGTTTTACGCTGCTAACAACCAAAACTTTAAACCCCTATACTTGCTTTTTGTGTTATTCTTCTTATTTGTGGCTGCGAGTGCCGATTTAATGGCTAAAAAAGCTGGAAACCCATTTTTAACAGAAATTTGCAATACTATGTTAGGCACTTTAGCTCTAGCTCGGCCAAAACAAGACGCACAGCTGAAAGAACAACTTTTTTGTGCTGCTAACGACCAAAACTAAGCACCCCTATCACTCGATTTTCGAATTTGGGAAAATCAATTTTGGCCCAAATTTCGCATTTTTGATAAGGGGTACCATCATCAAAATTCTCGAAAAATGGCCGAAAATTAAGTTTTCCAGATTTGAGTGCAAACCGATTGGGAATCATAGCAATCAAATTACAAGCCCTACGAGGTATTACATTCCTGATTTGGACCATTTTTGGCTGTGCTATGGCCAAGAAACTGATTTTTTTTGGGCCCAAAGTCAAATATACGTCTTTTAGAGCCCAGATTCTTGCCGGTTCTTAGCTCTAACTTTGTCAAAACAAGACGTACGGCTAAAACATTGACTGTTTTACGCTGCTAACAACCAAAACTTTAAACCCCTATACTTGCTTTTTGTGTTATTCTTCTTATTTGTGGCTGCGAGTGCCGATTTAATGGCTAAAAAAGCTGGAAACCCATTTTTATCAGAAATTTGCAATACTATGTTAGGCACTTTAGCTCTAGCTCGGCCAAAACAAGACGCACAGCTGAAAGAACAACTTTTTTGTGCTGCTAACGACCAAAACTAAGCACCCCTATCACTCGATTTTCGAATTTGGGAAAATCAATTTTGGGCCAAATTTCGCATTTTTGATAATGAATGCAAAGCAATTGGGAATCATTGCAATCAAATTACGAGCCCTACGAGGTATTACATTCCTCATTTGGACCATTTTTGGCTGTGCTATGGCCAAGAAACGTATTTTTTCTGTGCCCAACATTATGCAACGTCTTTTGACACGGCTTGTTGCCGTTTCTTAGCTCTATCTATGTCAAAACAAGACGCAAGGCTAAAACATTGACTGTTTTACGCTGCTAACAACCAAAACTTTAAGCCCCTATACTTGCTTTTTGTGTTATTCTTTTGATTTGTGGCTGCGAGAGCCGATTTAATGGCTAAAATAGCTGGAAACCCATTTTTAACAGAAATTTGCAATACTATGCTAGGCTCTTTAGCTCTAGCTCGGCCAAAACAAGACGCACAGCCGAAAGAACAACTGTTTTGTGCTGCTAACGACCAAAACTAAGCACCCCTATCACTCGATTTTCGAATTTGGGAAAATCAATTTTGGGCCAAATTTCGCATTTTTGATAAGGGGTACCATCATCAAAATTTTCGAAAAATGGCCAAAAATTAAGTTTTCCAGATTTGAGTGCAAACCGATTGGGAATCATTGCAATCAAATTACGAGCCCTACGAGGTATTACATTCCTCATTTGGACCATTTTTGGCTGTGCTATGGCCAAGAAACTGATTTTTTGGGGCCCAAAGTCAAATATACGTCTTTTAGAGCCCAGATTCTTGCCGGTTCTTAGCTCTATCTTTGTCAAAACAAGACGCAAGGCTAAAACATTGACTGTTTTACGCTGCTAACAACCAAAACTTTAAGCCCCTATACTTGCTTTTTGTGTTATTCTTTTGATTTGTGGCTGCGAGAGCCGATTTAATGGCTAAAATAGCTGGAAACCCATTTTTAACAGAAATTTGCAATACTATGCTAGGCTCTTTAGCTCTAGCTCGGCCAAAACAAGACGCACAGCCGAAAGAACAACTGTTTTGTGCTGCTAACGACCAAAACTAAGCACCCCTATCACTCGATTTTCGAATTTGGGAAAATCAATTTTGGCCCAAATTTCGCATTTTGATAAGGGGTACCATCATCAAAATTCTCGAAAAATGGCCGAAAATTAAGTTT